AAAATCGAGCTAAATCGATGTGGAGAAGGGGGAGATTCGACAGAGGGCATTGGTTTACATACGCATGAATATCTCGGAGGGCCAAGCCGCATGCTGAGCCCAGGCTCACACCAACCGTAACCTTCTTATCTGTTTTAGTTGGTAGAAGTGAGGGCGAGCCAGCATATCTTGTTAGGAGGAGGTTGAATGTGAGCGGGGTACGAGTTTCCCGTGAGTTGATCCGGTAAGTTATTTTTGTTTGGAGTGTGTAAAATATCCCTCAATTGAACACGGATTTCCGGAGTTAGAAGTGCGTATCCTGCCGGCGGATCTGAGAAAGATAATTCCTCTACATTGCGAACCGCTTTTGACTTTACATTTGTGTCCTTAGAATAGATAGTTTGGATTACTAGAAGGCAAGAAGGATGTAAACGGTGCTCTCTGCCGCATCACCGCCCTTCTTCAATGTTTCTCCACAAACAGACGCCCGACCGGGCCATCAGTGAGTTTCACTCAGCCGCTGTAATGCAGGGTCAACCTGTGTGTCGCACTATGCAGAACGAGGTAGGAAGTCGGCATTTGTGGTTGGTTGTGGAAGGGGGCTGCATTCAGGGCTTGAGTGGGAACTAAGTAACCCTCAACGCTCAGCGCTTTGAAAAGAAAACGGGCGGAGTTGTGCTGAGGGCATGAGCAGTTTTTGTGTGATTCAACTTGCGTCTGAGAATGGAAATACTGATGAGGAAGCAGCCATGGATGGCGCGGATGGCTTCGGTCGGAGGCGTCGGGAAGTCTAGGGAGGAGGGGTAACGTACTGGGGAGCCTCCTGAGTCATGGTAAGGTGTGAGGGGTTCACGTTTGGAGACCCAGAAAGGTGATGATGTTTGATCGCGCAATATTCTGACAAAGTAAAGACGTCACGGTTGACCCTTGTTAGCACGTTCGATTTTGGCCTTGTCAACTTCAATCTTAAAATCTATCAAACATAGAGGGGCGCTAACTCAGATCCCTAAACCCCTGCCCCCCCCCCCCCCCCTTCCCGCTATCAACAGTGTGGCGATCAGTCAGTTCTCGATGAGCAAGAGATGTTCGACAGATACCCGTCCTGTTCTTCTACACTCCATTACATAGCTGGTAACACACTGGCCAACCGGTTATTCTATGAATCACAGCTCTCGATTAATCAACGCAAAACAAATGATTCATTTCCGCGCCAGACCGCTCTGTAATCGCACAGAAAGACAAACAGATACTGTAATAGATAAGTGGTGGGAAATTACGGCAAAAAACAACTGGCTTTGTTGTCATTGGGTGGGTTAAACATGACAAGAGCGGGAAAAACTCTTGGTCGAGGGGAAGAGCAATCAAACACCGGAACCGGACTACACTTTGAGGTTCCAGTGCCGCAACCAGGCCCTCTGTTTCAGGTTATTTATTTATTTTCGCTTGAAAACACGCCATAAAAAATTGAACTAGCATGAAGATGAAAGAGATTTCCCAATCAATAACTGTAAAAATACTAGTCACAAAGCAATGAAAGTTAGTGAGAGAATCCTCTGTTTAAACGGGATCGACTGCAAACTCACGAAATTGCAGGTGTCCTACCGATAGGTCCGCCAAAAAAGGTGATCCATCACAAAGTGAATTACGGGATAAAACTAGCGCCATGCTTCAAAGGCCAAATCATGCCTTTGCATCGTCCATAAGAACTACTCCTAGATTTTCCAGGCGAAGCAACTCCTTCATTCTCCAGATAAAGCTGACTGGGAGAAGTTTTCTCCCCATGGGACAGGTCAGAAGAGCTGCGCGATGATTGAAGCCTAGGATTGGGCTAGGCTTAGTCTTAGGCCTGCTACGAGGATATCAAAGTACCTGTCCCGCCCGGGAGAAGTGATGCTCACTCAGGCTAGCTACTGTGATCTTCGCGCTGGTTTGGCTTTTGTGCTCTTTTAATCTAGGGTATATCACCATCTATTCGGTGCAAATTTATCTCAATAACATCGCCGAAAGCATGAGTGCCCTTCCCAAAACCTAGGCACAAGGACAAGCCACAAGCCCGCACAGACCCTAATGAGGTGAGTTCCCAATTACCCCATAACCGGTCTCACCGACCCTTCTACTGTCTATTCCAAAAATTAACACGAGCCAAAGTTCTAGAATTCAATACGAGTGACATAATTGATGACCCCTCTTCATCATATTCATTTCAGTCCACATTTCATCCCTTAACTTACAACCGGGTCTCCTAAGAACTGCGGTTCCACCCATAACCCATGACCGGACCACAGCGTGGAATAATGTGGCGTGACCTTCCAACTTACTTTTTGTTTAGCCAACTTGAACGGCGCAACCACTCGCTCTAAAGAATCCCAATGGAAAGAAGGGTGGGTGAGCCTAAGTGGTGCCGCGACCACAACGATGAGGAACCTTGTTTAGCCTAACCAAATTACACAGACGAAGGCTGGCCATATGGTACTACCCTCTATATCGGAGAACGAGAAGGCCGTCGAGCACAGACCACACACCCACCTAAAAGACGACGGAGGAAACGTGCTTGTTTTTTCTTGGCCGATGTCGTCACTTGTTGGTGCGGTCCTTGTACTGAACAGCTTCTCGTTCTCCGAAAAAAGGTGAACTAAGATGGCCAGCCTAGGGCAGTGTAATTTTGAGTTTAGGCTGGAACGAGTTCCGTCCATCGTTGTTGCCACGTGCCCACTTAAGCTGCGCCCACCTCTTCCCACGTCGGTAATCTTCAAGCAGGGTTTCGCACATTCAAGTTGGCTAGATAAAAAGTAGTTGGGGTGTCACGCCCGTCATTTGTGGCGTGTGGTCTGCACGAGCTCTTCACATTCTCCGTAATAGAGAGTATATTAATTAAGTGATAACAGAATGCCGAGGGAAAATCGATGAGCAGTCACCGGATATTCATTCGAAAATTCCTCAATAGATTCCGAGCGGTGCGAATGCCTGCGACATCCTCGAAAAACGTCGCTGATCACCCAAAAGTCCTGGGTTCGATACCGTTTCTCAGCAGCTACGAACTACCCTACCATTGCACTTCACATCAACGGTCCGCTGAAGATACGCGACAAGCGTGCACTTTATTTACGCATCATTTAGCACTGGTAAAGGCGATAAGAACAGCGTGAAGGCCGTGATGCGTCTTCCATTATTCCCATCGCTTTCAAGTGAAAGAACTCTGAGTCCGAATACAATCCAATCTCTGAGAGTTTACTCATCTTGAGAGGCGACACATAATAATTCTCAAGACAAATCGTTCGCATCCAGAGCAGTTTAAGTCGAAAACATGCTGTCTGTTTGTAGGGATGCCAACGCTTTGTCCATCGAAACAGTTCAAACTTCAACTTCTAAAGGTTAAGCGAGGCGCCGATCAGGGCAACAAGAAATAAAATCGCCACAGCGCCTACCATACCTCTCGCGCGTGCGCGCGTGCATCCGCATTGCTTTTTAATCGCGATTTGCATTTATATGCACAGAATCCTGAGGTAATGCTGGCGATCTACGGGAGAGGGTCAGCGAAAAGAGTAAGTCTCGATTAAGTTACCTCTTGGAGCAATTGGAACCATTTATACTAACGAAGACTTGGCTGGCCCGGGTGGGCTTGATTAACACCCCAATAACCTTCGATAACGCTACAGACGGAACGTCACTCAAATTTGCCTCAGTTGTTTCCGGATGCAAATCAATGAGCCGATCAGGAGAACGATAGCAAAGACCTTCAAGGAGGAAGGAGTTACTGACCAGGAACACTTCTCCCATCTGCATGAGCTTTCTCTATGGTCTGAGCAGTCGATCAGGACCTTCCGTGTAACAGCGCTGGGGACATCACCCTCAAATTTCTAAGCAGCAATCAAAACAATGTGAAGCATGTGACACGGAATCCAAGTTGAAGGCATCGCTGTTGGTGTGGATCGGGAAGGGATCGCACTGGATCCCACTAATTCTGGACATCCCGAAGATTTTTTAAGCTTAAGTGGCCCACTTATTTAGAATTTCTATCGCTTTCTGACACCTGTGAGCCCCCTCTCCATAGCTTCCACATGAAAACTCTTTGAATTCTGAGAGGAGTTGAGATGGAAAAATCCAGCAGATAAAGGATAAAAGGATCAAGTATTCGGCGTCGATCAATTCATTTTTGGAATGCGCCACAGATTCTACTTGCAGTTGAAATTGTAGTGAGCATTTGCAAAGCGGTTTGGCCTATACAATGACTTTTAAGGGCCTATGTACAACTCAACGGTTCCTCCCAGACACTATGGTGTCAATTAACCGATCACGAGGTGATGGAAGGCTTGGTTGGCCTGAAGGTGCAAGACACAAGATTTGATCCTTGAACTGAGAACGTGGTAAGCAGTGCCACTTGCCACTTTACCATTTCCGCCCATTAAACGGAATTTTACCGAGTAACAGAGGATGATGGGAGGGAGAAAGTAGGAATCGTGAAAGTGGAAATCCCTTACCACCATGTTTGACCCTGATTCGAAAAAGGCGACCGCAGGCGAAACTCAAACTCACAACTGGAACTTTTTCTTATGACCCGTAGACAACTACAGTACCAAGAAAAAATTCCAAGCCTTATTAGGTTCACTGACTGAGTCATGGCCGATGGCACCGGTTTAGTCCGTGATTCAACTGTACTTTACTGATCCCGCTCCTTTTACTGCAGACAAAGAAAGGCAATAACCATCAAATAGATCGAATAGGATGGACAGCTCTATCATGATTCATCTTTTCAAAGATCTCTGCCGTCAAAGTGCGGTTAGTGGATTCTTCTTCTACGACAAGATCCTACTGACAGTTACCCCCCCCGTCATACTGTCCCCGCAACGACTTGGAAACCAACGTAAGATGGGATTCGTCCCTATGGTAGACGACAAGAATGTAGCTAAACGCCTCTAGGCGTTGCAACTGCTTTATGGTTGACCATCCATAGAAAGGGTACTTCAAAAAAGAAAGCAAACATAGGTAAAGTAATAAGAAGTACATCTCAAAGAAGCATGACGTCACTTCGTAGGAAAAATAAAAGAATAATATAAAATACTGGTAAAGCAAGAAAAAGTGAATAGTAAAGGGATACCGTCTCTGTCTTCCGATCCTTTCGGAAATGCTTCTCCTAATTCTAAATACAATTTCATTACAAGTAAATCCATTCGATTGAATGATTCATGATCAGCCACCGAATACACTAACACGAACGCATCAGCCACCTGAAATCGGAATTACTTTAGAAAAAAACGTCCCATCCTTCAAATAAAATTGTCTTTTCGCTTAGACAGTGAAAATAAAAGAAACAGTAGAACTAAATAATCAAAATAAAATACATATAAAAGTAAAACTATAAACGACGATACGAATTATGAATATAACAAGGAGAAAATTTGATGATCAGACAATCGCTTTTTTTTCGGCTTGGAAGTTGGAGAAAACGAAAAATTGTTAAGAAACTGTGTGTGAAATAGTAAGGACAGGAAAGTAGCATTCAAACAGGGAATTGTCAGCCAAAAAATTAATATTTACAAATAACAAATAACAAAAAATAGGCCCAAAAAGGGGAAAAAGGAAACCAAAGTACGGACTAAAGAAATCTTTATAGTTATAAGAAAATGAAATTTAAATGCAACAGAAAAAATTGCTTTCACAATGCGGAGGAGTGGAGAAAATAGACATTGATCGAAAGCAAAAAACTAAATAAAAAACAGAAAAATAATGAATAGACTGTAGCAGTATGATCCAAATGCAAATAAATAAACAGATTTATAGTAAAAATACAAATTAAAATGACGAGGTCCGAAGACAGATCATCAAGAAGCCCATGTAAAGCAGTTTTCTCACATTTTCTGACATTTTTAAAGCGTCTTAGTAAAGTTACATCCCTTGTAATCCCTTCCTAACTCAATCGCAGTCTAACTCTCGCAGTTCCGCCACTTAACGCGACTTCGCTCCGTCTTGAGTACCCACTTTCTTCAGACTGTTCACTGAACGAACAAAAGACAGTAAGAAGGGGGTGCACGAGCCGATTTTGGCTAATTTTCCCTCCATTAAAATTCTTAAAAGCTTAATGCCATAAAACCATGACTAAACAGGAATCTACCGTAATTGCTACTAATGGATCACTCGCGTAACCATCTTGAAGGGCTGCCTTTTTTTAATTGCGCGAATGACAGTTGCCAAGCCCCTCCTTTTCTCTTCAATGGGCTTCGATCGCGGATACTATTCCCAAATTCGGATTCGATGCTGAATCCGCTTACGCAGGCAAACCGTGGGCCATAGAAGGACCAATTCTATCAGCAGACCCATTTAGCAGCCACCGTTACACTGCGGCCAACGACGTCGTTCTTTTCAGATACGATCTCGCCAACTTTAAGAACATGCAGATTTTCATCTCGATAATTGTGCGAGCTGTACAGGAAACCTGAGGAGATTATAGGACTACGACGCACAACGAGATCCAGAATTTCTCGTGGAATCTACCTCGTCATAACCCATAACCCATGAAAAACAGCAGCGTGACAAAACTCGGCACAATGCACAATTCAGTGACAAAACATAGCGCTTTGCAGGTTTACGTAAGCGTATACTCTCTAGTACAAAAGAATATGTTCACCACTGAAGAGCAAGCCTGTGAAATAAAAGATATGGAAGTCCAGTAATCCTTATTCTTGCTACCATACCAGTAGGTTCATTAAGCCTTTTCTCCCATAAAATTGTCTGAACTGGACATCAAGCCGGTCCCCTGACATAACCGATTTCATACCTATTGTCATCTTTCTCTGAGATTAATCCGTCAATAAACAAATGAAAAATTAACCAAATAAATAGATAGACAGGTACCACAATAAGCAAATATAACTCCTCCTACACTACATAATCTTTGATGCAAAAATTCACTGACGCGCAATCTTAAGGACTACGATGATTTCCATTTCCAGGGTCTTTTTTTCTCGAGGGAACCGGTCGAAAGCTCAGGCTTGCTTGAGACCATACATAAAATATCCACAAAGGCTTGTTTGATCTAGATTCTCGACGGTTTGAATTTGAGCAACTTCAGCCTTACGAAAGAGTAAACAAGAGCTCCTGCAAAAAGAAGAAAATGGTAGGGTAGTTAGCCTCAAAATAGCTCATGAAAGAGTTCCCAATCTGCTGGGCGCTCATGGCAGTTAGCCATCCACTGAAGGGACCTCAAGGTTGAAATTCTGCTGGTTAGAGAGGCTCGTGATCCATGAGATGAACGGGAAAATCAGAGTTTTATGAATGTAAACAAGAATAAATATATCAATGACAAGGCCAAAGGAGAGGACAAAAAGTTCAACAAGTCAAAAGGATAGTAATAAGCATTGGCCTAATTTGTAGCTCACATCAAAAAAGAAGCTTCAGAACTGAATAATTCCAATTTTTTGGTGCTGCTAACCCTCTTGAGAGGTGGACGGCAAAAAAAAAGCATTGCAAAAAAATTCAGAAAAAAAGACAACCAGTTTTAAAAGCAATTATTTTCAATAATACCAAGCGCTGTTTATGGAAAACAGTAGTCAAATGAATAGAAATAAAATAAAATAATAAGATTAAATAAAATACTCATAGTTGTAGAGCTACATAATTCTTTCGAGAAATCTTGCTGCTTGAATTCTACCACGTTTCCAAACGTCATCAAATATTTACCTGTAGATAAGGCCTCTTCAACTCTGCTGGACCATGATCCGCTAAACCGCCGGTATCGTGAAATATCAAAATTTCTCGAGGTCGATCCGCTTCTTCTAACATCACTTGGTATGTGTCATCAATCGTTGGTTCATATTTCTGAACAAATAAAAGAACTATTTAAGAATCTATCGCAGCTATCATGAGTTCCTTCGTGAGTATCGTCTATTCGCCTATCGTGAGTTTGAGTTTCAGTAAGCCTCAGTGGATGCGCCACAGTACCAAAAACCGCACGTTTCGTCAATAATGAATGCGCCATGCATCGCCTCGCCAGCTAAAATCGCGTAGTTGATTGGATGGTGTGTAGGAGCTTGCATGGTCTTTAAGAA